AAGAAGATATACAAATTATTATATAACAGTTTGTATTGTTTAAACTTGTTAGTTGCTTGTTGTAAATAAACAAACTAAAGCCTTTGTAAGATTATCCAGCGACGGACCGTTAAAGCTCAGACGTCTATCGTTAATTAGATGTCAAATTATAAGTGACGGATTAGGGTACAAACCCTTGTCGATATTTGGGGTTGAAATGTTAAAAGTTTTTGCTTAAATTATTGAAACATCAGAGAATTAAAATAAGTAATGTTTTGAGAACATTATGGTGAAGTTACGCAGATTTGAATCATTTATTGGAATAAGCTTTTCTGTTTTTTTTTTCAAGAGAAACATAGGGATAAGGATGTTTCATACATGTATTTTATTAGTAAAAACCCACAATTAAAAGTTTTATATTTACTTCGGACAATAATAGGAATATATTAAAAAAAAAACCTAAAAAATCAACACTCTCATTAAAGTTTTTTTTTTAATCCATCTTGATTTTTATATTATTTGTGTTACTATTTATATTACAAGTAAAACTTTGCTTTTAAAAAATAAAGTCATATGCATTTTGACTTGGAATAAAATTTTAAAATTTCTAATTAAGGGGCAGGAAAAATCTTTGTAGTTAGTTGCGGTTTTGCTTTCCCGACCGCATAAATATGACTAGAAGAAACCATTTCATGAATGTAAAAGTAAAAACTACTTTTAAACGTTTATACAGTTGTATAGTTTGTAACAACCTGACATATTTTATATGAACCCTCACTGCATACAGATTTTCTTTCAAGTTTTATTACAGGAAAATATATAAGATTTTTACCGTGTAAGAGTGCGCACACCTTTGATTAAACTATCGAACAACTGTTTAGTCGCGCTTTAGACCTTATATGGAGGGTACACTACAATAAGTTGTGCGACTAAACAGTTGACAGCGAAACAATCGACTATCGCACATTTGTACTCCTCTCATACAAGTGTCTTCCCAGGCTACAAGATGTCGCTGGCAGTGTGCCGGGACCGGCTGACGGGCACGGACGCGCCTGAGCAACTCTGCGACGGCTCCAGCAAGCCGAGCTCGGCTGTCGTCAGATGCAATATGCATCCCTGTCCTTACAAGTGAGAAGTTCTTAAATCTACTAATTCACTTTATTCTACAGACTCAGTTTCCTGTTTAATTGTAGATTTATACGTCTTCGTTACTGTTTGATCTTGTCATGCCAATAATCCCCTATACCAAACCAACATGGCGGCCAGGGGATTAAGAAAGGAACGTACTGTGTCAATTCTATAAGTGAGAAAGCTACTGTTTAATTCGAGATTTATTTGACTTTACAAATATAACATAATTTAATTCTTCTCTATTCATAATATAAATTATGAAAGCTTTATTTTACTGTTTACATTTGTAAAAATTTTATTTACTAATATTAAAATTCAAATGCACAAATGACAACGGAGGACTTTGGTATTGGATAACAATTACCGTTACCACGGCAACATTGTTTCCTTGATGACAGCTTGTAGTTTTTTCCCTTAACCAAATATTTTTTCCAAATTTTATACTCCCTAAGTATAATACCATGTTGTAATCGTGAGGCTTTTTATAAAGAAACAGTTATTTCTAAGTAAGCTGTGATTGCTGACCTCCTACGTAACTAAGTAGTGCGTACGCTTTATTATCTTACTAGTATTATAAATGCGAATGGTTAGATGGATGGATGTTTGTTAGCGTTTGTAGCTTAAACGGCTGAACGGATCTCCATGAAATTTGGCACAGGTTTAGAGCATAGTCTGGAAGAACACATAGGCTACTTTTTATCCCGGGATAAGTTACGGTTCCCGTGGGATTCATTTATTTAGTTTTTAATGTTTATTCGATCAACGGTTCAACATATCTTATTGAAATTTGGCACAGATGTAAAACAAAGTCTGGAGTATACATGGGATAAGCGTCATCCCCGAGGTGTCCGGTTCCCGAGGGATACGTAGCTTTTTGTTATTTATATAGTTCGTATGTTTTCTAATATCACGCGGACTAAGTCGCGGGCAACAGCTCGTATTGGTATAAATCGAGAGATACGGAAGGCGGAGAACCGCATTCTGTGGAAGATTGGGGATGGCCTATGTCCAGTAGTGGGCAAATAAAAGCTGATGATGGTTTGATGATATTTATACAATATGCTTCATTAGATGGTACGTGGGTGAATGGTCTCCTTGCACGGTGAGCTGCGGCGGCGGCCTGCGCTCGCGGCGTGTCCTTTGCGCCAGATCTGCTAATGTTACAAGAGCTGATACTTACCAGCCAGGTATTTTATACATACTTAATATAAGACCCTTTTTCCACTACGATAGCTGCGACTAAACGTGTAATTTTTATAAGCAAATCGTTAAAGAAATGACAATATTAATCGCTTGAAAAATGGTTCTAAAGTTTTTATTTGTATGAAGGTTTACAACCTTCTACTACTAATACATTTAACAATACAATTATTTCACTTTTTTTAAAGATAATGAAAGCCGTGATTAAACGATTTTATGCAGTTTTACGCCATAGAAACTCACCTTTAAAGACTTAATATCGTCATGTCATTGACTTCTTGCATAACATTTTGAAGTTAATTAAAACATAATTTTAATAATCTATGTAAGTATAGACTTCAAAATATGAAGTGATATTCTTCACTTGAGTTAAAACACTTCTACAATGTAATGATCTATAGTAAAGCGTCTTTGTAAGCACTTTATGTTAGCACTCACTTCGGGTTATTGATATTGTCAGTAAGTTCATAAGGATTGAGTCACTATGAGCAGTAAAACCGTACGAAGTGCCTTTCAAATTTAGATAGACCATTTCGAATTATGCTCTTATTATCACTAAAACGAGATATTACACAGAATACTTGGTGAATTTTCGTTTGTTGACTTTTAAATAAAAGCGTTTTATGTAAACTTTGAATCATAATTATTGTTGTAACTTCTTAACAACAAAGAATATTGAATAAAGTAAAAAGTATTTAAATAAAGATTCAGGTGCCTACGAAAATTAAATGTCAAACAAAAATGTTGTCAATTTTAAAAGTAAAATTACAAAATTGCTATTATTATATTTCAGGCGCAATAGATACTTTACTGATTTTTGTTTTAATATTATTTGTACTTCTATAGGATCTTCGGAACCAGGTTGTGTGTCTCCAGCGCCACGATCCTCACAGACTTGCAACGAACACGAATGCCCTTTATGGATAGCGGGTGCTTGGTCAGGAGTAAGTTTTACATTATGGATTGTAAAATTATAATCTAGATTGAAAACTATGATTCTCGATTGTAAATTTAAAGTAATTCAGACTGTATGGGAAATCCATTGAATTCAGTGACTCATTAAAAAAACTATTTAGCAATGCATTTATAATAATAGTATTTAAAAAACAGTGACACAGACAAATATAAACCTTTACTGTTTACTCAAGATTTTGCAATAATATTAGCATTACGTAAAAGCTTTCAATAAACCTTTACGACTCTATGTGGCCATTTTATAGTATTTTTCAGTACCATTAGTCTGAGAAAAAATACATTAGCGTGTGTACCCGTGTGTACTAGGGCACCATAAACTCGATATCAGATATTGAAATATCGCGATGTTCATAGAATATTCACATAAAACTTTATAACCTAACTAAAAGTATTGAACTGCCAACATTGTGTACTCACGAGAGCTTCCGTTGCGGATAGTTTTGAAACACAATGTAATACATCAATACTATACTAATATAATAAAACGAAAACACTCTACTTCGTGGCGTAGTGTCAGCAATCGCAGCATATTTTTGAATAATTCTTTCTTTAATAAAAAGCCCTACAGTTACGATATGCTTTAGGCTATATATTTTCACGATTTTAAAGAAGGTAAATAAATAGGAAAAAGACCTACATGTGGGACTATAAACTACAAGTTTCCAACATCAAGGACGCAAGGTTATTGTTGTGACAGTAATTTTGACATTAGCATTTGAGAATTTGACAAATGAAAACATGAAAAAAAAGTTTTTATAATTTAATTCTGATGAAGCCGCACGGGAACAGCTAATTATAAATAAGATTGAATATGGATGGCTAAAGGAAGACTAAAGAAAGTATGTATGGATTGTCTGAAAGAGGATATGAAGATATGACGGCTGATAGAGATGTATGTATGTGCCGACCTTCCAAAGTGACAAGGGTATTATTATTGTGATGATGATGATGATGACGAGATACATTTTGACGCGGAATAATGAATAATACTAGCAAACGTATTCCCGGTGTGGTTAGAAAAAACAAATGAATTCTGTAAATTATTCAAATATCGAACTATAGTATTGTTGATTCCTAGAACATCAAAATACATAAGTCTTAATCAAAAGTTTCGAATAATTATCAAATGTTTAAAATTATTAAATCAAATTGAAATTTATATTAATTTCGAGTTGAAATTTCATTAAAACGTCTACGACTGATATTAAATTGTTCAAAGAATCAAACTATAATTAAGTTTTCACGAAACCAATACGACTTTGGTAAGTTTTAGACAGAAGGCTGTAAATCGTCGATTTGCGAACCGCTGCGTTGAAATATTACCTTTCTGAAACTAATCTTTGTGTGAATATAACTGTATGTACTGTCTAATTACTTATAAACTAATTAAATTAAAAAAAAAAACAATAAACACAACTAACTTGGACGATACGAATCAAATTAGACTACAGACAAAACTCGTTACAGATTCTTTATGACGTCATCGACGCACATATATAAAAAGTAATTACACGCGGATAGAGCCGCGGGGAAAAACTAGTCTTTCTAATATTATATATGCGAATGTTTAGATGGATGTTTGTTAGTTTGCCACCTAATCTACTAAACGGACCTCGATGATATTTGTCATAAATGTAAGAATAGTCGAGAAGAATATAGGGCATTTACTTTTGTTTTCTCTAATACTTTAAGACTAAATTACAACCTATTCTAGATAGAGTAGTAACAGCGGTAGAGCCCGCTTTAACATCTTCACACAAAAGGGCCGGCTCTGTGTAATACCACGACCACACAGAAAACAGGCGTGAAATGGAAACAATTCCGCGTTTCGTCTGATGAGTGTGGTGCCGGAGGCCTAATTTTAACCCCTTTCCCTTTCCACCCTTTTCTTAAGAGGAAAGGATGGGAAGGAAAAATGGATTTTACGATGAAGGAGACGCATAGGAAGCGGAAATGTCCTCTTTATGTGCGTCTCCTCCTTCAGTCAATTAATGGTAGGCAACGCATCTGCAATTGCGGATGTTTACGGGCAGCGGTCGCTTTCCATATCGGTGGATTCAAGCCGCTGGCTTGTTTGCCACCTTATATTACAAAAAAAAAGATTCGATCAAGACTATTTGAGTAAGAAAATTCTATTACTGTTTAAATTCTCATTCACTTATCTGTATTAAAAGTAGATGCAATGTTTATTCTGTTCTATTCATGGAATGTATTCTATAAAACTGCTAGTGAACTAAAAGCATTGAAGTAGTTTCTACTGAAAGCAGTACAACTTGCAACTGTATAGTGAACGTTATAGTGAGTGTTTTGTTTTTTTCTTACTAATAATGTATGTGTATGTTAGATATCTCCGGAACGGTTAAAAAGATATTTGGTTGATAGAACATGGTCTAGAACATATAGGCTATTTACTGTTTTGTTTCAGTCCTTTGCAGACACTCGCAGGCATAACCTATTTCATATAATAGTAAAAAAAAATACAATTCCAAGATTTAAAGATAAAATTTGTTTCTTTATTTGATAGCTTCGAACTAATCCGATGAAGAAAGTTTTTCAAATTGTTACCAGCTGTTGCATGCGACTTCGTCCGCGTGACATCAGAGAATACTAAAACATATGGCCATTCTTTCTAATGAATAACGCAGCTTTTTAATTGTATAAGAACTTTTGAAATCGGCTCAGTAGTTCCTAAGTTATTTCAATACATACAAAAATACAAATCTTTCCTCTTTAAAATATCAGTATAGATATGGACTTTGTCATGTCTTTAAGAAACGATTGTTAGCAAAGTATGTTTTAAACATATTTTTACTGCATAGAATCGTATTACAATGTTTATACGTAATAATAAAAATCTAGTCTAGGAATCAAATTACCCTTTTTTATTCATTGCCGTTGCTTTTGTTGAATATTAAATGACTCTTATAGAGTCTGGTACACGCAGGTACGTCTTAAAAACCACAATAAATTCAACGTCTATATAAATAGATCAAAACATTGTGACCTATTTTTGGATTAAATGATTTTCAATTTGTATTTTACTTACAAGCAACACAACGGAATGTAAAGCCAAAATTAATTCCTAGTTTATAATAAACCCCTTCCATTTATTCATATAAGAGCGTGCGCACATTTGACTAAACTAACCCACAACTGTTTAGTCACGGTTTAATTCCAATGAGCGTATATGGAGGTGCCCACATTACTTGATTAGTTGTGCAACTAAACAGTTGAGCTGCGAAATAATCGACAATCGCACACCAGTTGTACTAATAGCATCCTCTGAGTCTTGAATTTGGCCGTGTTATGCGATTTTGAGTCTTATTGCATATTTTTACAGTGTTCAGTTTCGTGCGGCGAAGGAGTACAAGTGAGGGGAGTGGAGTGCACGCCAGCCGGTGGTGGTTGTGACCCAATGTCAAGACCTGATATATCCAGACCTTGTTCCACTGGCATCAGCTGTCCCGCTTACAGAGAAGCTGATGAAACTGAGGTGAGAATAGCTTCCGTTTTCCGTTTCTAGTTGGATTGATATCTCGAGAAGATAAAAATATGATAATTCTTATACGTCCCCTACTCCTTTTAATTGCACTTCTTTTCTTCTTTGCTAGATCATCATCATCATCATCTTTCTCCTTATCCTACTTCTAAAGGGTCGGTGCAACATGTTTTTGTCCTCCAGATAACTCTATCATACGTCATCTCAGTCATCACTCCCTTCTTGATCATGTCACTTTAACGCAATACATCTATCTCTTTCTACGTCTACCTCTACCGGTGTACCCTTCCACACTCATAACTAGCTATTCTTTACTAGATGACTATCCGTTTTTCGCGAATTCGTCTGCGTAAAATAATAAAAAATATAGCCTATGTTACTCACGGATAATATATCTTTCTAATGGTGAAAGAATTTATAAAATCGACCGAGTAACTAGATTTGACGTGAATCGAATACATGTCAAAATACAAATCTTTCCTCTTTAATATATTATGTAGAATACTAAATATCGAATAGTTTGTGAGAAATCTATTAATAAAACTGTTTTGATGTGATTTTCCATATAATTAAAACATTATCTTTATTCCAGGACGATATAGAAGATATTTTACCCGGCGTGGTGTACCACACACAGCCACTTATCCAACCATATCCTCCGCCACAAGCTAAAGCGGAAAGACTGATAGGAGAACCAGAAGTACCCGTGGAAGCCACGTACGTATTTTTATGGACATTAATATTGTAACATTAACTTAGACACTACCTCCTGCAATGGCGCGCTCTAATACGTCTGAATGACATTGACAGCTGTCAGATAGGGACGTCTATGCCGAAGTTCTAGTGTTGCCCGATTTTCATTTTAACAGTTTAGTATTCCATGAAGTAAAAACGCGGTACACATTTCGTTATAATCTTGACTAAACTTACACCCATTCGTCACTAAACCATTAATAGTATTCTGAAAGTGAATGCTATTTTTTAGCGATATATCCACTGATATGATTGTTGCAGTAAATTGGACTTAGGGTCCTTCAAGAAGCGTATCACCTTCCTTTTGCTAGTTATCCTCGCTTGTTTTTTTAAAGTGTCGCATTCGGTCAGCTGTGCGACTATTCGCGCTAGTGCAAAAAGGTCTTAAAAACTATAAGAAGCTGTACTGTACTTTAGATAGATGGTTTAAAATTCAGAATAAGATATTTGTAAGTTAAAAGATATCTTGTAATAAATAAAAACTACAGGATAATTAGATAAAAAATATTTACCCTTTGTTCTATGTGAAAAATTTAGTGTTGGTTGTCTCTGTTTTCAAATATAATTGAAGGGATGAAAATGTGTTCTTGTACAGGTGTTAAAACACTAGACAGAGAGCTCGTTTTAAATTTTAATGACTAGCAGGAGCGCCGGATTGTAATTAAAGGCATTTAAAATGAGAATAGTTTATTTAAAAAATACTAATTATTTTAATGGCTTGTTTTTGAAGGTAGAGAATTCACAAAGGATTTTTATAGATAAGCATTGACAAAGAGAAAATCATTTTCAAATTTGAATTTGGAATTAAAGTTAATTTTAGGCAACATTAAAAAAATAAAAACAAATGCAGGCGGTTAAAAAAAATTGTTCTTCCGCAAGGATGTTAAAACAATTCTTTGTTTTAAGGAATGGGTTGCGTTTACCGTCGTGTTGATATAAATATCAATTACTAGCTTTTCGCGTGCGGTTTCATCCGCATGAATATTACAATTTTATTTTATTGTTTACATGACATGACCAGACAAACCTTAGCAATCTTGCTTTCTTGATGTTGGCAGCAACTTATGGTCTCTTTCCCCCATTAGAGATTTTATCCAAAATATTTACCCCCTAAGTTTAATGGCGTAAAAATATATATCATAAAGCGTGATGTAAGTGTAGGGCTTTTTATTAAAAATGGGATTATTCAAAAACATGCTGTAATTGCTGACATCTTAGGCAACAAAGTTTGTGTTTACGCTTTATTATAATAGTACAGATATAGTATAGATTAAGTACTTATTAATTGTGTATCTTACAAAGAGCTTAGAGTATTTTGTTGTTGTTTTCAGCAATTACAAAATATTCTTTGCGTGTGGCTGGTTGTATGTAAGGTATTGTACCTACTGAAAGTAATAAAGGTTTCACGTTTAAATTCAGAATAACATCCACACATCTACGATGAATGTTACCTTTCCATTTACACAAATAAACTGCCCATTTACAATTAGATCTTTTATATTCAATGATTCGAAAAGTGTCTTTAACTAAAAACACTTTTTGAATAAATTTTAACAAGACACGAATCAACTTTCAAATAATTTTTTTAATAGAATTTAGCTACAAAATAGATAACACTAAACACTTATTTCTCTTTCTATGCACAGAATATCTAAATTAATAAATAAATCTATCAAATCATTTGCCTGATCATTGCTTTACTTTACAGAAGAATTTATCTTATTTCTAACTCTATGCACTGCACAGTAAAGTTTGAATTTCCTTGCACTCTATTCTTCACTCTGCACACATTGTGTTACTTCTTTGCTTCGTTACACTTTCTCGATACAAAACTGGACATTTCTGGCACCGACAGAAACTACTTTGTTTTCAAGTCTCACGGAGTGTTTAGTTGAAGCATTAAAACTATGTCTTAAATATTACTGAATAAGAATTAAATACAGATGAACACTGGTGCATATACTTATACATAAACCAGCCAGAACAGATGAGGTGTAACTTCTAGATTTAAGTTCGGTCCAATACCTAAGCACCCGCATGTCAAATCATGTGTGATTCTTTCATAGAATATAGTATCGTTTATTTAGATCAGAGATTCCTTATATAGTCCAGGATCCCATGGTATCTAAAGGAGACGGCAAGAATTCAAATTAGAAGTTCAAAGGTCAAAGAATGTAACAAAGTTCACTGGAACCAGTTAAGTTCTGTAAGAATTCTACTAAAATTATGGACATCTCTGATCTAGATTCTTCTATTTTAATCGCAACCGTAAACCTTTAAAGGCATTCATAAAATGTTTTCCTATAGAACTCCAAAGACCAATTGCATTTTATTAAATTAGATTTTTTTTTATAGTTACATAAAAGACGATGACTGGGGTCCGTGCAGTACAACATGCGGCGAAGGTTGGAGGAAGAAAGAGGTTCATTGCAAGATTTTTTTAGAATTCAGCAGAACTATAGCAAAATTACCAGACAGCAAATGCATGGGTCCCAAACCAACGGAAGAAACTGAGAGATGCGTCATGGAGCCCTGCTCTATGGCTTATGGGACGTCTTTCGGGGATTCTAGTATACCTTCATACGGAACGGGAGACAGGTACACCAATATAAAAAAATACATTTTTTAGTAACATGCAACAAGCAAATTGTGAATTCAGTAATGTTGACATTATAAATGCGAAAGTTTAGATAAATGGATGTTTGTTAGAGTTTGTAGCCTAAACTGCTGAACAGATCTCGATGAAATTTGGCATACATGTAGGGGATAGTCTGGAAAAAACACATAGGCTACTTTTTTTAGTTATACGGAGTCTGGCGAATTTAGTTATAACATAAAGTGCATGATGAAAATGCATTAGTTCTTCTGATGTTGTTCGTGATGATAATCACAGTATTCACTTTTGTTACAATATAAGTAGGATTGGCAATAGGAAGGCAGTCGTAAAAATCAAGTCTATATTTTAAGGATAATAAAATCTCCTAAGACAATTCAAGGACAGAGAAAGACGATCAAATTAAAACAACTAAAGTAATTTACAGTATTATTTATACATCACGTTAAACCGCTCTGGTCAATATCTTTAATTGAGAAATTTCATTTCACACAATTTATCTAAAATGCCATTTTGTAGTGACTCCTTAACCACATCGTCGACTCTCACTTTTAACAAGATTTCTTCCTTACCTTCATTAGAAGTGCATTGGTAAAGGTCTAATTTGGATTCGCTTATTTCTCTTTCAAACGTCGTTGTTACTATTCTTAACTCTATTAGAGTTATGAGCAATCCAAAAGGTAACATTTCTTGTACATCATCTTCAAATGAATCCTTAGTATAAATTAAACTAGAATCAATATCGTATAGTTTCAAGAATGAGGTAAAACTCTCATAATAAACTGATAAAATATCTTTCATATGTTGGGCTCTGAATGTAGAATCAGTTGACAAATAAAGGAAATAAACAATATCTGTTGCTGGGTTTGAATATCGCATCGCTTGGAAGTCCAAAAAACATAGATCCGTTGTGATGTTTTCCTGCAAAAATAAACACTATTACCATACCAGCTTATTACAGAAGAATTATATTACCTTGACAATTTTTTGAACATCCATCTATCTAAACTTTCGCTTTTATAATATTAGTATGTTTGCGGTCTCTGTTTATTCAAAGGGAATGTAAAGGATGGCAATATTTTATAATACAAGTGTATAATAACATGAAATATGATTCTTAATAATTATATGTATATGAAGTATCGTACCTTTTGTTTGAACAAGAAATTATTCACCCAACAATCTCCATGACAGAGCACGTTAAATGTTCGTGAAGAAGTGTAATATCTTAATAGATCCATTAATTTCGTTTCTACATTTTGTAATTTCGTTCTTGCGTCCAAATCATCTAACAATTTAACAGAATCTTCATAGCAATTAGTATAATAATTTCTTAGTTTACTTTTATCTAGAAATGTATCTTGAAAAAGAATATCTTTAAATTCGTTTTTTAGTTTCGTGAAATGATCAACATTGTTCATTTCAAATACAACTGATAGTGCGTGAAATTTCGCTAAATTATCCAAAACTAAACATACTTGTTCGTATTCTAAATTCTGTAGTTTATTAATTTTAGTATCATATTCATAACCTTTGGAAACTAAATCTTCTAATATTAGTACCTCATTTCCTCTCTTCATATCAGATAGTATGCATTTAGGTATTACGATTCTGTCAGATATATCTAATTTCTCTTGTATCATTTGATATCTGGATAATACTTCTTCATACGCTTTTACTTCTCTTTTATGTAGTTCTCTAAATAACTCCTGACGTGTTGTATTCACTAATGTTTTAACAATCACACTAACTTTACCACAATCTTCAGTGTCAGTTATTTCGACTCTAAATACGTTTGCAACGAAATTTTCACCTTTACCACACGCGAATTCAACATGATATGTGAAATCTTTTATGTTGTTTATTTTAGCTACATTTTCTATACAACTGTGCAGTTCTGTACAATTAAATTCATCTGGTTCACTTATATTTACATCTAATGACATTGTTGAGTAGTGAACTGTATCGAAAACTTATTCAAACTGAGATAGACTCTGATAATATTTGATAATATACGATAAGAGTTATCAAAAGTAAATGTAAACACGCTATAAATGCGCTAGTGTTTAGCAATATCTTGTAATTGATATTAAATTCACATTTTCATATCTTTTTAATTATTTCCAAACAAAGGAATTGTATTTTAGAGATAATTGGTCAACACTAATATATAAAAACAAAAATTTTAATAAAAAAAAAACTGACTTCCAAACACAATTCACTGAAAGTAACAAAGAATATCATAAATTACTTGGAAAGACTGAAAAGTCCCTTCTTGCAACTGTTTTATCTATATTGTACAATTAGAGTTACTTAGAAGTAGGTGTCAGAAAGGTTGATTCATTAACTATAGGTTTTATTACATATCCAAATTGTTCACCAGGTCCTTGATCTTTGGAACGTCCAGTAATATCCGAGTGGCGCCCGGCTCGCCAGGAAAATCTTATTCTTGGAAAGAGAAAGGTTATACAAGCTGCAGCGCTTCTTGTCTAAGCGGTGTTCAGGTAACGAAACATTTTGAAATCAGTTGTCATTATAAATTTACTAATATCAAGGAATTTAAGAAGATATGTTATTTTGCAACAAAAAATATTGATTTCAAATAGTCTACTTAGACTTCATTTATGTTTCACAGGAGCTAATCATCCAATGCGTAAGAGATGAAGATGGTAAAAATGCGTCTCCATACATGTGTGATCCTTTGACTAAGCCTGAGAACAGAGTAAGAACATGCAACGATCATCCTTGTCCACCAAGGTAAGAAGTTACCAGTTCATTAAAACAAAACCTTAAAGGTGTGTCAGATTTGTGTGAGTAAGGTGTGTCAATTTTGCTAATCAGAAGATTTCAATACTTCAAAAGTTCCAGTTCAACCATTATAAGATGAGATCACATTTGTTTCTTAACCTGCAAGTAGAAATCAATTCTATTTCCGATGACTGTATTTCTTCTACACATTTGTTTACATTTCTATCAAAGAAAGAAATAATAAAATTCCAATTTCCTCACAGATGGAACTATACGGATTTTTCTCAGTGCACTAAATCCTGCGGCATTGGTATACAGACGAGGGAAGTGACGTGTATACATGAAGTAAGTTATTTTATTACAATTTGTACTTCAATCTTCAATTTTAGATAGAGAAGAAGCGTAAAAAAATATATTGATAATCAATACAAGAATTTAGGAGCAAAATAAGCTGAATACAAAACAAGGACACTTAAAAAAACTAAAACCATCTATTAGAACAGAGGTACAATCGATGATTTTCATACACACACAACATTTTTGATAGTAAATCAGTCAAAGCTTCTATAACATCAACCCGCAGCGTTTCATGTCCAACATCTATCATTCTCTTAGAATAGAACATAGACAGCAATATTTCAATTACACAATTTTGTTTTTTGTTTCTCACGTCATTTGTTTCCAGGTGACTCGCGGCGGCACCAACACTGTGGTGGTGCCGAACAGCATGTGTCCGCAGCCGCCGCCGCCGGACCGCCAGTACTGCAACGTGCTCGACTGCCCTGTCAGATGGCATACTGGCGAATGGTCGAAATGCTCCAAGACTTGCGGAGGTGGAGTGAAGCAGAGAGAGGTGACTGTATAAACAAAACTTGACTTATCCTTACGGCAAAGGAAAACATCGTGATGCACATATCGGCGAAGAAATTCAAAGATATTTGTGTAGTCAACCCGCAGTGCAGCGTGGTTGACTGTGGTCCTGTCGCTCTTTACTTGTAGGCTCCAAGCCCCTCAGTGGGGACTTATAGTGAGCTGGTGATGATGATGATGATGATATTTTTGTTATCAGGTGGAATGCAAGCAAATAATGGCACAATCACACGTGGTGGAAAGACCATCTTCTCTCTGCAACAGTCCTCGACCCGCGACCACAAAGTCTTGTAACAGCCGACCCTGTTTACTGGATACCTCCTCTCCGGAGATAACATTAGCCAACTCATCTTATATACAGCATGATCCTAAGAAGAAGAAGGTAATTATTTTATTATTACAGTCTTTAAAAACCAAAAAGCAGATCTCTAGATCAGGGGAACCCTTAGTTCTTTAAACATTTAATTATAATTACGGGAGCAAATTGCACGTGTCTTCTCACGTAGCATAAAAAAGTCGTCGAATTCGTAATATTTCCCAAGGCGAGTGCAATCTCCTTTAATTATATTAAAAAGAATATTTTAAAGAGTAAGAAAAGTGAAAACTACATCTCAAAGTTGACTTTTAATAGTTCTGTAGAAACCAAGTTAAAATGTAAAAATTCTTAAAGTTTAAACTATAGTAACTTTAACCCTGCAACAATTTTCACTGCAAAACTTTTTAATTTACACTTTTATAGCCTTGAAGAGAAATAAAAATGTTCTCGACCAACTCACTACACTATTGATCGGTTCTAAGGAATTTCTCATTTGTTCCACAAACACGTCGACAATTTGTCATGTCCTCTATTGTATTTGATTTATAACTACAACAATTATTTACTGTGATATTATTTACACGCTATTAAACATTCAATCACTCATACAATGTCTGGAGAAGTAATGCTATTATTTTTATACAGGCGCTTTAATTGTTTTCATAACATTTTAATGAGCTTAATGTTACAATCTCAATTGTTAACCGTGGATTATCATTGCAATAACAGCAGTATGAATACGTACTGTCTCTTTCACTCTCTAAAATAACAGATGTAAAAATATTTCGATTATGCATTAATTCACATATTGTCTACTAAAATTATGCTATTAATTCTATTCAGGCGCCTTCGTTACTTAAATAACACGATAAGACTATAAAATATAGATTTGGTTTCATTGTATAACTTTTTCAATTCCTTAAATATTTTAGGTTACGGTTAAAGTTGGCGGTTCAGCGACAATTTTCTACGGAACACAAGTAAAAATTAAATGTCCAGTCAAAGGATACAATAGGACGAAGATCCAATGGGCGAAGGACCATCAGATTATTACAAAGTCTAAAAAGCATAAGATTTCTAAAAAGGTAATATTTTGTTTTATATAAATGTGATAAATATAATGATTTTTATGCCATATTCTAGTGTTAATGACATGAAATAAAGGAAGCCGTTGTGTAAAAAGATGAACCTTACAATCTTTATACTAAATTGCAACGAATACTTCTGTCTTCTATAAAAACTACGAGAGATATTTAACTATAAAGACATGGTGTTTCAGATTCAAGTACCACAACCAGAGATATTTAAAAACACATTGACAAATCAGTAAACAAAATTTTTCACTGCTACTTTGAATTATGTAAAAAATGGAATGGAATGGTTCAAGTGGAATGTTATCTTACTAATGTTATAAATGCGAAAGTTTAGATTGATGCATATTTGTTAGAGTTTGTAGCCTGAACGAAACATATCTCGATGAAATTTGTCGTAGATGTAGAGGATAGTTTGGAAGAACACATAGGCTACTTTTTTAATTCCACTCGAACGAAGTCGCGAGTGAAGTTTATTTATTTAGCCTTATGTATTCCATACAATAACATTTTTTACTATAGAATTACAAATTATTAATTTGTAATATTAGTGAGGATGCCTGAATAGTAAAATCCTCCTCCAAAATGGTGAAGTTAGTGTCTCTAAATTTTTTAATCTATGACCACAACAGATGCAGTTATTCTTTGAACACTTTGTCATTAGGGCGCGCTACGCATCACGTCGCTGTCGCTGCGCGACCACGGCGTGTACACGTGCGTGGCGGGCCGCTCCAGCGCCAACCTCACGCTGCTGGTGAAGCCGCGCCCCGGAGAGTACCCCGCCAGCGAGGAGATCGGGCACAAGACCAACACGGACCACCCCTCCTTAGCTGACAGGTATTACTAAAGTTTTTAGTTAAGGTCCATTATACGAGTATTCTGTTTATTATAAGTTAAAATATTATTTAAAAAAAACGCATTAATGTAGCGTAGTATAACGATTACGCAAAAAAAATACCATTTAACCAATCCTGGTTTAAAACAGTCAAATTGCGGTATTGAAATCTTCGTCTGTGTGATTGAATATCCATACATTTAACCTTAGTTCTTTTTTATACATTTTAGTACAATGAATTTTATTGTAAAGCAGATCAGACAGTCGCGCATCAGGCAAAGGAGAACAGCCACACGAACAGCGACCTGATGAGAGGAAAACCAATAAAAACAGACAAAGAGGTAATATAGTTAATATAACAATATCTTAAAGTGCCTTATTTCGAAGTTTGGTGATCATTAGGGCTCACAGAACAGACAAACCTAATCAAGACTTACAAATTATATTACGGTCTAGGATGCGACCCTTGAGGAACACCATACTATTATTCTGCTACCTAAAGTTCCAGTTTTATAACTCTTCTGAAAACATAAAGGCAATACAAAAGGGATAAAAAAAGATAGAAATTGTAATAAATGTATCATTAAGAATATATGAATTTCGGAATGAAACTTTTTTTTTAAAATCACGGGGACGGACTCGCGGGCGATAGCTAGTTATTTCATATATGAAATGTTAAGTAAATTGATTTGAAGGACCCAAATATTTTTTTCGTAGGTAAACTAGACAAAGTTAGAGATGCACTGTACGGCAGCGCGGGACAATCAACAAAATCTCCAAGCTTCAATTCTCAAGCCCGTGACATCTACGACGAGAATGAGGTATGAATTATTTAAGATTCCAATTAGAAAGCAGGAAACTAAATAATAACCACGATGAATTATATAATTAAGTCATAACTATGGGTTCCAATGTTATATGTATTTTAAAACGCATAAACGTTCAGTGCAAAATACAACCTCTGTGGCTGACATGAAGTATAAATACAGACAAAGAGGTGACATACTGGCAACCAAGAATTTTGCGTATTTAGTTCTTAAAAAGATATAAAAAAACAGAAGAAGCGAGTGATGAGTGAGAGCGAATGATGATGTACATTGGGCCTGTCATACCAAATCGTAAATTGTCTGATAATAATTCAACCTGTAAAATGTGTGATGGAAATATCGGATTTTGTTCCCTTCTCTGACAGTGATGTCATTTTTAAGCTAACTGAGCCTCTATCAGCCAGTGGAGTGATAGGCCCTTAGTGAAATAAATATATCTTGTTTAATAAAAATAGTGCATAGACTGCCGAGCTATCGGTAACAAGTTACGTTTACCGAACATGCGTTTCTTTAAATAATTCTTTGTAACTTCTGGTAGTTAAACTGTGACTCCGTATTGTCTCAAGATATTACTGCGTTAAATATAATTTAATTGCCGCAGTAAAGTGTGCCATAAACTTTATTGAGCCCATTTTACTGCAGAACTTAGCAAAATTACTTTAGATATCTAATCATTATGGCTTTTAAAGAAACTTCTATTCAAGTATTGTAGGGAAAAAGTTCAATTTGAATATAGATAAACAGAAAATACTAACGAAAAAGGATTTAAAATAAGATACTAACGAAGTAGAAAAAAAAACCTGTCAAAACTTCAAATATTACTAGCCTTAGAATTATTTTAAAATACTTCAGTTAATCATACTTCATACTTAATATTATAAATGTGAAAGTTTAGATAGATGGATGGATGGATGTTTGTTAGAGTTTGTAGCCTAAACAGCTGTACGGATCTCGATGAAATTTGGTAAACACGTAAAGGATAGTCTGGAAGAACACATAGGCTACTCACTTTTGTATTTTTAAATTCCACTTGGACGGAGTCGCGGGCGAAAACTAGTAGATAAATAATGCTACTATACGCTCTAATTCAAATACTGTATAAGAATTTAAGTGTAAAGAAATAACATCTTAGAAACATCCAAATATCGAAGTAATAGAGGCGTTTGTTAACTATGAAATTTGATTGTTGAAAACTTTGTTCACGCTGCTTGGGACATTATCAACAAAAGGAGAGCGCGGTCTCTTCTCGGATGCTTCCGCCCAAACCTAGCAGTGCCTCCCGACTGTTACCGTGTCTTCATTACTTTATCATGCAATTTCAGGTGAGATGTTCCTAAAATAGAGCATGTCAACCGGTAACTGGATTACTCTAATATACCGTCTATGGCATGCTTTAACCGCTGTCATTTCTGGTTTCATTTGTCACGTGATATCATGAGTTTCCTAATGACGAGTTTTATTACTGGGGATTTTATATTATTGATTACTAAATTATTCTTCTTGTTGTATTTTCGTATCATTGAAAAGTTGTACAATAAAACCAATTAACAAGATTTTTCTTAATGAACATTTTAATTGATGTATTCAGTTGTTTTTTGATTTTCAGACGATATTGGGGATTTCTCGTGGTCAAAGAATGGTGGATTCGATAAGCGTTTTCCAGAATCACGTGACGCCAACGAAAACACACTTCGTGAATCTCGATGATAAGCAAATTGTTTACCCGGAAGAGGATTATTCTGATATTATAATTGTTAATGAAGATTACATCAGACAGACGATAGAAAGAGCGGGACAGAACAATTTTAAAGAAGATGTATACGATTTAATTGAGACTACTGTAACACCGAAAGAGGAAATGTAAGACAAACGGCACAACACTGAAACGAAACACTGCGCTTCTTACACCTTCTTTGACGTGAAATTTTAATTAAATTTCTATTTTTAGCGTGGTTATTTAAGACGTTTTTCTTAAATAAAATGTCGTTTTAGTGTTCAGCCATTATTATTAATAAGAAAAATATTTGATTTTGTTAACATTCACACTTATTATAAACACTGAATCTATACTAATATAAAGAGGAACGATTAGTATTTTTGTTATTGGAATAATTCAAAAACTACCTGGTTGATTTCAAAAATTCTTTCACTATTCAACGAGTAACAAAGACTATGTTTTTTGCTATTTTTTAAATTCCACGTAGACAAAGTCGCGAGCAAAAGTTAGTTTATTATATGTTGGCAAACTAACAATCTGTTTGAAATATAAGTTCCTTACATATCTCAAGGAGATGCAGATTTTTTTTTACAAGTTTTTACATGGACAAGAAACAGGGGCACAGATTAAAAGAAATGCAGAATGTAAATTAAAGCCTTGAAGTTTTAAAGGCGTTTTCTTTAGTTGTATAATATTGCAGAGTACTGATGCCGGCCGAGCTGGCGGACGGCGGCTACTCGTGGCTGACGACGGACTGGTCCGGCTGCAGCGCGCCGTGCGGACAGAGCGGGCACCAAGTGAGGGGAGCTGTTTGTCAGGTAATGTTAGAAATACATTATTATCAATGAACTTTGAGAAGTTAAATGTAATATACTAATATTATAAAGAGAAAACGTTTGTATTTCCGTATGTATTGAAATAACTCAAAAATTACGGGACCAATTTAATAAAATCTTGCACCAATAAAAAGCTATGTTATAAGAGTAATACGTTTTTACTATTTTTTAAATTTCACGCGGACGAAGTCGAGTGCAACAGCTAGTAATGATAAATTATAAGGAAGAAAGACATTTTTTGTATGTATTGAAAAAACTCAAAAATTACTAGGCCAATTTCAAAACACTTTGCACAAAAAACATAAAAACCTTTATAGGATTCATTAGTTTTACAAATATGATGTTAATAAGATACGGGTTTCTTACCATGATTGGGTTGTTTTACCTCGTGAGTGGTTAGTCAGCCCGCGAACATCGCGGAACTGTTCCGGAATGTCGACAGCTTGAACAACCCAATTGTGGTAAGAACCTTACGAACATTACATATAGCGTATATTCAATGTTGTTTATTGTATTTGTTCGTAGTACAAGAGAGATAACATCACAACGACTGTGGAGGCGGAGGAGTGCCTGGGGCGGGGCGCAAGTCCTCCCAGCGTGCTGCGCGAGTGCCTGGGCCCGGTCTGCGCTATCTGGAGGGCTACAGCCTGGTCGTCTCCCAAGTGCTTAGCGAGTGGAGCTGGTGAGACACATAATCTTGCAGTTAGATATCGAAGCAATAAATAAGAAGATAAAAATGTCTTAAAGTCTTCAGCGGTTCAGATTAATTGTAATTTATCTTTGTTGGAATTGTCAAGACCTCCTTCTTAAATTATCTTGTATTATAATTTTTGCTCAATATGTACTTATGCGTCCCATATGCACCATAGAGATTACTATCACGTACTATGTGACCTTGCTACGACTTAAGTCTACTGGGTACTCTTTCTGTTTTTACCAGCCCTCCTTCGTCGCAAAGTTGAATGTATAACAGAGAACGGCACCAAGTTGTCTGAGAGCTCGTGCGCCGCCGACTCGCGGCCAGCGAAGACCAAGCGACAGTCGCAGCCCTGCAAGCCCGCCTGGTCGGTCGGACCTTGGAGCAAGGTCAGTCATTTTTCCCTGTTTTTATCTCTCTGTATCTCATCATCTTCCCTACCTTATCCTAAACTCGTAAGGCGCACTGGGTTTTAACTCCAAATAACACTAATCAACCGTCATCTTAGTCACTATCTTCGTCATGTCACCTTTCACGATCCGTCCATCTTTTTCGACCTCTATCTGTAATCTCATCTTCCTATCTTTATCCCACTCTCTATGCACCAGTTTTAGTCTTCTAGATCGATCTTTCGTCATAATATAGTCCAATACTAAATCAAACCTCCATTAACTTTAGTAGTGAGTGTCCTGTCTAAAGACTGATACGATATTTGAAATAACTCGTAAAATATAAATAGTAGGGCTCGGATGCTCTCACCTTCAATACGAATAAACATATTTTATATTCAACAAAAAACAAAACAAAAATGGATATTTATAAAAAAGCATATCGACAACGTGAGCATTGAAATTATTTATTATTATATTATTCTATAAAAGCTTTTTAATAACACACAATAATACACACTCCATATTTTCGTTAAATATTTTATACTATCGTATTAAATATTTATTTCATAGATTTTTCACATATAAATTGTGTGCAACATCTTTGCACAGACTTGTATTGTCAAGTTATAAATGTTTTTAAAACAAAAAGCCTCTTTTGTTCCGAATTCAAAATGTTATTCGTTGGAAAGGAAATGAAAGGATTATTGAGGGTAGGGAGAATTTCTCGTTCAGTCTCTTTTGTTCTTATATGCCCGATTTTTTGGATTCTTTTAATGTTATTGGTACACAACATTTTTCATCATGGAAAGACATTGTATTACGTTCGCATTATTAAATAGATAAAGGAAATTTTTGGAAGAACATTAAGTTTTTTTAATACAAAGAAATAAATAAGTAAACAAATGAAACAGATTAAAATTGAGAAAGGTTTATTAATTTTTATTCTACGATAGTTATTGAAATGAATAACTAAATTATTTACAGTACGTGAATCTCGAACTCGATTCTACGAGGCAAATTGAGTTATCAATTGATGCCGATTTAGGTCTAACTCGATTTAACTCGATTAATCAAATCGAGTTGACATCTCTGTTATATGTCAGCAACATAGATGTATGTAACATTACGTAGTTTACGATGGATTACTACATATACACACATAGACAAGAAGCCAGTTCTAGGTATACCAGAGCCGGGGTTTACGCCCTCTTTTTACCATAACTGAAGGAATAGTTGCATCACGATGTTTTCCTTCACCGTAAGTACTTCGGGTAAATTATGTACATATGGAAACTCGAAAAATCGAAAATCACATCGGTACATGGCGGGATTCGAACCCAAGATGTCAAGATGTCACGATGTCGTAATGCAAACTGCACATATCGGCGAAGAAATTCAAAGATATGTGTGAAGTCGACAACCCGCACTGGGCCAGCGTGGTTGACTATGGCCTAATCACCCTAACTTAGGGTAGGCTCCGAGCCCCTCGGTGGAGACATATAGTGAGCTGGTGATGAAGATGATGATGAAAGGAATAGTTGGTTACGACGTTAGCCTTGCTAGAATATCGTTCACAACAGTAGAATGGGATTCGAATTCTGGACCGCAAGATCAGTAGTCCATACAAAACTATTAGGCTATTGGCGCTTAAATGAATGACTCATCATCATCTTCCTCCTTATCCTACTCCCGTAAGGTCGGTCCCGTAAGGCATCAGGTTTTTGTCCTCCACATAACTATCATATGTCATCTCAGTCATCACTTCCTTTATGTCCTTTCACGCAATCTATCTCTTTCTAGACTCAAATGAATGTTTCCCCCCCCCCCCCCAGTGTATAGGTCTGTGCGGCACTCGCGGGCAGCAGCACCGCGCGCTGCGCTGCGTGTGGCGCGCGGCGCGGAGCAGCAAGTCGAAGCGCAAGCGGGAGCGGAGCGCCGGCAGCGCCTGCGAAGGCCTCAAGCGACCTGTCGTCACCAGGGCTTGTAATGTCGCCCCTTGTCCTGTCAATAAAGGTATTTTTAAACAGTAATATATTGAAAGTATGTAAAGAAAACATCAGGAAGCCGGGAACATAAAATTATTTAAAAAAAAATCCATGTATCGTAAGCTTTATGAATTTGTAATTTTGGTTTCAATAGGACTAGAGTATACATTTCTACTTTATATCTTGGATTTAGCAGGTAATTTGATTTAGACAACCAAATAGATTTTTCAATATAATTTCCTCCGACTCTGTTTTCTCAATGTTTATTATACACAAGTAGCTTCCACCGCGACTCTGTCCGCGTGGAATCAGTTAAAAATAGTAAGTATTGCAGAGTTTGCTCTACATCTATGACTCATCGAGATCCGTTCAGCAGTTTAGGCTACAAACTCTAACATCCATCTAAACTTTCACATCTTACTAATATTATAAATGCGATAGTTTATATTATATTCTGTAGCCTAAACTGCTGAAAGGATCTCAGTAAAATTTGACATAGACGTGGCGGACGGTCTATTAGAACTTAGAACACGTACTTTTGTTTCTTTTATTCCACGCGGACGGAATCGCAGACGACAATCTAATTATTTAGATAATAAATATAGTAATACTAACTTTCGCCTGCGCCTGCGTCCGCGTAGAATTAAAAAATAAAAATATAAGTAGCCTATGTGTTCTTTCAGACTACCCTCTACATCTATGCCAAATTTCATAGAGATACGTTCAGCAGTTTAGGCTACAAACTCTAACAAACATCTAACTTTCGCATTTATATTAGTAAGATGTATTTTTTATTTCTAGATGGCATCTGTAAGGATGGATCAAGATATTGCGAGAACGTTCGTGCGATGAACATGTGCGCTCTGAAACGTTACAAGGAGCATTGCTGCGAAACTTGTTACAATTGATCGATGTCACTAGGAAATACCACTGCTGAGATACATTCTGTCTCTGTCTTTTTAAGAATGAAAGAGATGGCAATATAAGTCAGTGTTACAAAACAAATGAATTACGAATGCTTAAAGAGACGGAATTATTCCTATCTATAGGATGATGAGAAATAATTAAAATAAATGTAAATTAAATGTACTGAATTTCAATAATTAATGAAAAATGGAGAAGTAAATGTTATTATTGATTTAATAAGTGCAGTGCCAACAAATTATAGTTCCAAATGGTTCTGCGGTTGAAGTGAAGTGTGATTTCAAATTGTGTTATGAAACAATATGAAGGTAGTTATAAAAAATGAACTCTATGGAATTGTTAAAGGTATAGAGAATAGAGAAATATTGGAAAATTGTTGTGCTTGGTACTTACTTGATATTTATTGCAAATGTTTAATGGTTGTTGACCTGATCAAATTTTAGGTTATCTAATACAGACAGCAAAAAAAGTTTACAATTACATGCAACGATGTAAGAATGAAGCTTATAAAATCTTCCTGTTTATAATTCATTGTTTTAAGATAAACAGAAAACATTAATAATACTAAAAATGATTGGGAAATGGACATATGAAAAGAAAATGTAACAAAAACATTTTAATATTTTTCAAAATATGTAGTATGTAGATTGAAATGTATACATGAGACGTACGTATTTGTGATTTATGTGATTTCAGCGCAAAGATTTAAATCTAGTTTAAAGTAATCTATTACGTATTTTGTAAAATAAACACGCCAAAAAATTACGATCTAGAGTCTACAAACATTTTGTTAAATTCTCTTAAGTAGTCTTTTTGTCTAAACATATCTTGATTTTTTGATCTTAAAAATATGTCAACTTTTTTTGTTGTCTGTACATTTACTGGGTCCTTGAAAATTAGTTAATTCTTTTGTAAATTATGTTATATAAATGTAATTAAGTAAACACGCACCGTACGCTTAAAAATATCATATAATGTAAAATCTATAAAAAAATGCACAAAAATATTTAGTTAACACATCTAATGTATAGAGAATGTAGTAAAAAATAAAAAATTCAAATATTCTTATTAGAAATGTTATAAAGAAACACTTTAAATAGTCAAAAAATGGCATATGTTAGATATATTTAACGTAATTTCATATGTATACTAAAATTAGAAGCATTTCATTAAAAAATAATCGCTAAATTTAATGTAAATACGTAATGAAACTAATCACACACGAACACGAATGGATAAGATACGAAATGAGTAGATTAGAGGAAGTTTGAGAATAGCCCCCATAGTAGAGAAGGTAAGGAGTAAAAGGTTAGCATGGTATGGGCATGTTATGAGGAGGGATGAATCGCATGTGACAAGGAGAACGTTAGTTATGAGTGTGGAAGGGTACATCGGTAGAGGTAGACCTAGAAAGAGATGGATGGATTGTGTAAAAGGTGACATGATCAAAAAGCGAGTGATGACTGAGATGACGTATGATAGAGTTATGTGGAGGACAACAACCTGTTGCGCCGACCCTACGGGAGTAGGATAAGGAGATGAATATGATGAAACTAATCATTCATAGAATGGTTGAATTTATTTGATTAGTTGCTTATACAGTTTTCTACAAAACGTAATAAAAACAATACAATTATCTTTAGTTGTTTTAAAATAAAAAGCAAATATCGCGACAGGTCTTACGGGAAATATCGTAAATAGTTTTCTGACAAAAAAAAATCATATGCTTTTTTAATATTTGTACTCCTAAAAACAGTATTTAAAAGTATTGTTTAAAACACAACTTTCAATTAAATGTAATCGTAAGATGCCAATGACTAAACTATCGCACAACTGTTTAGTCGCTTTGATTCCTATGAGCTTATGGAGGTTACAGTACTCAATTAGTTGTGCAACTAAACAGTTGAAGTTGCGAAACAATGTACAATCGCACAAGTTGTGCGTACCTATGCATCTACACAGTTGAATGGAGTGAAACAATTGACAATCGCAAGACAGTTGTGCGATTGTTTAGTCAAAGGTGTGCGCCCGCTCTAACTGTGCTTAAACCGCATTTTAGACTTACCACTATATGAGTAGAAGCCCTTTGCGTGAGTTTTAACCAATCAAAGCTCTCAGAATGTGTTTGAACATCACAATTTTATATTTTAGATTCGCTATAAAACATATATAAATAATTTGTTGTCAATTGTTAGTAAAATATACCAATGTATATAATTATTATAAATAAAACTATTCCAAAGCGTTTAAAATTAATTTAATGCGGTATAAAAGTGTAGTTTTACGGGACACGACGTGCATTTGTTTGTAGTATAAATTCCATCATCATCATCCACTTGCCCTTATCCCTTATGGAGGGTCGGCACAGTATGCTGCTTTTCCATACATCTCTATCAGCCGTCATATCTGAAACCACTCCTTAAGCATATCCTCTTTCACACAATCCATCCATACGTTCTTCGGTCTTCCTCTACCTTTGTAGCCATCCACATTTGTAGTATTAATTCCATTTGCTGTTATTTATCGTGTCCCGTGAAATCCAACCTTAAAAGATGCATTTACATAAATTTATATTAATCTATCGTTATACTGAAATGAATTTAAATCTATGCTTATTTAAAAAAAAACTCTTTAAACTTATCAATTTAACTCGGCTTTTCCTTTATTAAATCCAATAAAAAATACAATTTTCAATACTATTTGATTATAAAGTTTTCTACCATAAAGTAATTGTAACATTTGTTATTTCAATGTTTTTCAAATATGTTCATTATTTCATAAAAAAGCTATTTGACGTAAGTCAAAATCTTAAACAGCATACATTTTGATAATACTATATGAAAATATAACATCATAATTACTACTGCCTTTTATTATTTATTTTACTCTAAAATCTACATAAATAATACATTTTTATACAATCATAAAAACTAATTAAAACTGAAGATCAAATAAAAATATGCTACCTACTTAAAATACTGAACATTCTCAAATAAAATTTATTTATTATTTTGTTATCCACCGCTATTGTAAATGTCATAATGTTTGTTTTAATTGTACTTTTGTAAGATGCTTGTTTTGCCTCACTCAGAGTCATTTAACACATCGATGTAGATTTCTTACAATCTTTCTACATTAAAGGATTCCATATTGACTCTAAGTGCGGCAAATCTAATTCTATTCTAGAATCTACAGTCACAAGATTTCCAGTATTGTTCGAGCTATGAACCTTTTTTTAAGCCTATATTTAAGTCCAATGTATAAAATGTATCGAATATTTTCAAAAAAATATACGAATAAGTTACTGAATACTGTGTTTTATTAACTGTAAAAAATCTTAGAATCCAAATGCTTATTCCGAAATAAACAAAACAACAGAAATGGGGAAGTAACATCCCTTAAATTAATAAAACTGGCCAATGTTTTAAAAGAAGCTATAAAAATGTTAATATAAAATACTAGCTCTACTTGCGTCTTCGTCTGCGTGTTATAAAAAAAGTAAGTAGCCTATGTGTTCCAGACTATCCTATACACCTATGCCATTTATCGATATCCGTTCAGTAGTTTAGGCTACAAACCAACAAACATCTATCTACTTTCGCATTTAAAATATTAGTAAGAAGTAAGATAGTCTCTCCTATTTTATTCTTATAAAACGGACAGCAATAAGTGTACGTACTAATTAACGTAACCAGTGAGACGCAGAAACAAAAATGACCCATTAAAAAAAAATCGTTAACAAATTAAGGGTCTTTAACCTTATCTATTTGAAAGGACATTAATATTGTAATAGTTTCACATTATAAAAGGATAGTAATTAAATTTTCATTAATTTTAAAACAAAAAATGACTTCTGAAATAGCCAGAATCTCGTCTTGAGTTAACTTCGTCTAGACACTGATCAAACACTAATCCGAGAATGGCTCTTAACGATGTCTGTTTCTTTTCAATTATACGTTCTTTTGAATATAAAATTCAAAGGGTACTTTATGACTATCAAACATCTAATTAACAAAAATGTCTATGTTTGACCCATTCTCAGTTAATCATCCTCCACTTGCCCTTATTCCTTACAGAGGGACGGCAAAGTATGTGCTGCTCTTCCATACATCTCTATCAGCCGTCATATCTGAATCCATTCCTTTCTTAAGCATATCCTCTTTCACACAATCTATACATACTTTCTTCGGTCTTCCTCTTCCTTTGTAGCCATCCACATTCAATCTTAACACTTTCTGGTTCATGTCCCCATCGTCTCGTCACATAACATGTCCATACCTCGCTAACCTTTTGCTTCAATTTCTCCACCACTGGCGCTACTTTCAAACTTCCTCTAATGTACACATTCTTAACTTTATCCATCTACCGTTCTAGTTAGAGTAAAATACATATAGCTTTCACTCGAGACTTGTCCACATAAGTTAAGTATACTTTAAGTAATTTCAATACAAAAAAAGTGGTCCCTGGTAGATAAGCATTCTCTTTGGAAAAAAAAATCCCTCCGTCTTTGACCATGATTTCAAATAAGCATGTTAGAGAGTTAAGATTATAAACGTGAAAGTTTAGATGGATGGATGTTTGTTAGAGTTTGTAGCCTAAATTACTGAACGGATCTCAATGAAATTTAGCATAAATGTAATAGTCTGGAAGTACACATAGGCTACTTGGTTTCGTTTTTTTAATACTACGCAACCGGAGTCGCGGGCGTAAACTAGTTATTTATACAGTACAGATCTAACATACGAATAAACTTATATCTCTACAATCTAAATTCTAAATCAAATATATACAGAGTCGAATTTAGTGTTTGGTTTCAAAAGCTTCGAGTATTGAAAGGTCTGTACTGCATTAAGCTTCCCGTTACTACAGGATTGGAATTTGCCAAGTCTCCAACAGGTAATCCGATATACGCTTGCATTGACTGGAGACGTCGGGAATCTAACATCGAGGCTGGTACAAGTCATAAGAGATCTTACAATCTCACTAACATAAATGCAAAAGTTTGGATGGATGTTTGTTGGAGTTTGTAGCCTAAACTGCTGAATCTAGATGAAAGTTGGCATAATTGTAGACGATAGTCTGGAAGAACACGTAGACTTTTGATCCCGGAAATAGTTACGGTTTCCGGGGATACATTAATTTGTTTAAGTTTACTTCATAATTCTGCAACGGTTCAACTTGTGTGATTGAAATTTTGAATAGACATAAAACAAATTATGCAGTAACACAAGTTTATGTCAAACGTTAACGAATAATATTAGGTTGTCAACGGCTACGTTTTTTTCATAGTTCTTATGTTTTTTTAATACTGTGCGGCAAATGTCGAGATAATATTAGTATGGTTTACATTATCTATATATATGTCGTTTTGGTTAAAACAAACTGTTTCTTCCTTCAATAGCTTTATTTCTTCACCTTTTGTTGCAAAAATATAATTTTACACTTATTTTTTCGTCTTAATCTAAAACAAGGTTCCGTTCATCTTCCCGCTTTTAGTTCGTTCGTTCGTTCTTTCCAGTCTCTCATACGTTCAGAATCATTCACTCTAGTCAGCATTTAAACAAGCTTTCTCATATCTTCGTTCGGAAATACGCATTCACACATCCCACATATCTAAAAATGCATTTCGCTTGTGACTTGTATTGAACCAATTTATAAAATGCATGTTTCAGTACAGTTTAGACATACAAACACTAACGAGAATGTTTCCTAGGTAAAGTGTATGTTACTATTAACCGCTAAGTATTTTTATAACAAACTAACTGTTGCCCGCGACTTCGTCTATGCAACATTAAGATAAAAAAGTAACCTATAATATTCCCGTCTATGTCATATCCTTCCGTGAAAGTCCGGTCGAAATTTGTCCAGCTGTTTCGGAGACTACCCGGAACAAACGCGGCTGACGTACAAACAGACAGACAAACAATTTTTAAATGAGTTTTCGTTATCATCAACGCAAATACATCATCTTTCCGAAATCTCGAATTTTTCTTTTGATATAACAAACAGACATTCCAGTTTTATTACATGAAAGTGAAACACGAAGCCCTTTTTAACGACTGTGACTGACCAGAGCGAGCAGAAAGGGACTCCACAATTCTGTGAATTACACAGTACTACGTCTCCCAATAACTTTATAAAATATGAAATCTTGTCCAGGGCACTATAAGCGTTAAAACCATTCCTAAGCGAACGTTAATATCTTCAAGACGCTTGTAATTTATTAAATATGAAAGATATAGGAAAATCTGAAGAAACGATAGGTTAAAGCGCACGTCTGACCCGGAACTTGCGTAATTGT